GATGGACCTGATTGCATCGGTGATAGGATTTGAATTTCTTTTCGGGGAGGATAGAATTTTACTGTATTTTATATTCTGCTGCAAATGCCTTTTGAGCAGCAAGGCAAACGTGGTGCAAAAAAGAAGTTTATTCTGAGACAGTTTGGGCTACAGGAGGCAATCCTTGCTGTGCTGTTGGTTTTACACGCAGTTGTGAAAACAGAACTGGCCAAGTCTGGTAACTTTCTAGGTTTCCAGCGGTTATATGTGAAATCGCTCCGACCATCTCCCACGTGGAAAACTTGTCAGGTCAATCTGCATAATTCCCAGATAGACTTATTTACTTATCTCACCTTGGGGAGAGATGCTTCTCTTGCTGAAAGTCTGCTTGCAGAATTCCACCACAAACAACTTGCCTATTTCTGCTAAATAGCCCTTTCCCTGGCAGGCTCCCGCCTCTGGAGACCAGTACAGGTAGTCTTTGCTTAATGACTATTCATTTAACGATGGTTCAGAGTTGTTATGGCCTCAGGAAAAGTGCTTTATGACCTGTACTCACGCTTATGACTGTCACACCACTCCCAGCAGTCACCTGACTGCAATTTGGGACCTTTTGTATGATGGTCATTAAGCGAATCACATGGTCATTAAGCAGATTCTGGCAAAAACATCCATTGGGGAAGTTTTTTGCTTGACGGCCACGTGATTCACTTAACGGCTGTCATAAAAATGGTCGTAAAATTGGGTCTGGTCACATGGTGACTTGCTTAATGACCAATTTTCCACTCCCTGTTGTGGTTGTTAAGCAAAGACTACCTGTATTAGAAGTGATCTTGAAAACCCAGGTAGGGTCAGTCCTCCTTAAAACTCGGATGGGAGACAGCTAGGAAGGCCCAAGATTGTAAGTTAGACCGGGAAGTAAAAAATCTCTGGAGAAGGCATGGGCAAACAGCTTCCATATTGTTGCCGAAAACCTGATATGGACGTGTCCATATAATCTTCATGAGTTGAGCTTGGCTCATCCTTGAAATCACAAAAAGCTAACACAGGGTGGGTTCCCCTATGGCACTAAGCCGTATTATGGCAACTTGGTTTGGAATTAGGGCAATGCATGGTTCTGGCCACCGTGGCTCATTCAGTAAATCAGCATTTTTATTGTATTCCTTAAACCCAGACAGTTTAGCACCACGTGTGTTTGGGGGCAGACTGGTCTGTCATAACCTCTTGGGGTCTAGTATGTTGCTCAGGCTGACCTGATCCGCGGCACAGGAGTTCAGCATTCCCACGTGCCCGTGTCCCCTGCCCATTGTGACCCAGGGCACGTAATGTTGGCAGCAGCCCTCCAGCGTGCAGTGTCAGACAATCCTGTTGCTTGTGCAAAAATGCTTTTGTTGGTTTATCAGACCACACTTAACCGCATTAAATACTTGAAGGGCACTGTAAGACTTAGCCAAATATCTGTAGTGACTTTTGCCCTAAAGTCTTATACTTTTTGGCTTGTGTGTGTGCATGTTTAAGTTAATTCTCCAATCCCAATATTGATGGTGTAAAGCTGAATAAAATTGAGTTATTGAACCCAGAAGAGAGTGTTCCTTCCTGCTAAACACAGAGAGATCTTTGCACAGCAGCAAATATTTGCATATGGGTAATTATTGCAGTCTTGCCTTCGAAGTACCATGCTTTTTTTTTTTTTGGCTTGCATTTTTAATTGTTTGGGGGTTTTGTTAGACTGGTTGCTATTTGTGGAAGAGAGGCAAACACAATCAACCAAGATTGTTCCAGTGCTTTCAAGCGTTTTCATCTCTGTGCTTCAGCCAAAAAGGCTTCTGGAGAGCAGGGTATAAAAACGTCTGCCCTTGAGGTGCCAGTCAAAAAGGCTTGACACACAAGGAAAGAAGCATTAGGAGGGAGGAGGAAAACAAGCCCGTTCTGGACTTCTTAGGACCCACTGGAATGGACACAGTTCAGTTGGCCGTTTGGAATGGTGACAGTTGAAAGGGAGCTAAAGGCCACTGCTCTGAAAGTGGAAGTATGTTGTGGTCTCATTTCTGCTGCAAATGTTCCGACCACAGACGGGAGGGAAGTCCCACAGCCGTGTCCCCGCTGGCCCATGTGTCTTTCTCCAGGTTTCTGAAGAACTAGAAGAGGTGGTGGTGTGCAAAGTAAGGAGAGGATTGGTACAGTCACCCCCTTGTCAGAGGGCAGTTGCTATCTTGAAATGGCCAGCAATTGACACCTCCCATCTTGCTTTATTATTACTTGTTCAGACCCCCAAATCCTGCCAGCTCAGCTTTTGAAACTCAGTTCAAACGAGCCCACAGCCTTAGGATCAGAGAGGCATGGCATTAAAAGAAAGAAGGATGAACCGGAAAGAGGAAAATTCAGCCAAATTTTCTTTAAAACTTCAGTGCCATTTTGATATGATGGGAGGGAAATTATTTAAGGGCATAAAGAGTTTAATGCTGCCCATCTCTCCCTCTTTTAGCAAACTAGTGAAATGGGAGGAAATGTAGCATAGTTCAGGATATTCCCAAGGTAGCTTCGTAAATAATAGGCTTGTGGAAGACCCCCTCACAGGACTTTTGGGAGCTGCTGTTGGATGATACAGATTCAGTGGGCCAGTGGTTTAGACCAGGGTTTCTCAACCTTGGCACCATGCTGGCTGAGGAATTCTTGGAGTTGAAGTTCACACACGTTAAAGTTGCCAAGGTTGAGAAACGCTGGTTTAGGCAGTTTCCTGTCTTCCGAAATCCTTTTCACAACATCATACGATTTTCCAGGGTGTGGGCATTAAGCTGCAAAGAATTCTGCAGATTCTAGACACGTGGCTTTTCCATATATTCTGTTCAGAGCTGCTGCTCGATTAGAAAAATATCAGGGAGTAAGATTTTTCTTCCATACTGTGCAAGCACCTGTTTCGTTACCTTGTTGGTACAGAGAAAGGAGTTTTTCTAGTGCAGTGTTTTTGGCCACTTTATGATGTGTGGACTTCAACTCCCAGAATTCCCCAGCCAGCATGCTGGCTGGGGAAT